TGAAAGATATATTATCTCCTAATGCTCGAATGGCAGCAWAGATTGCGTTTCGATTAGCTTTATTGTATTGTACTGAATGTTACCATTGGAACTAGATGTTTATCTCCCGCGATTCAACAACTTACCTACTTATTATGTGTGATAATGTGATTTTTTTAGTATTTTGTTTGTTACTTTCTCAAGTTTATGCCGTTGTTTTTTTACTGTGAAGTTGATTTTGTTTTATGATTTTGCGCCCTGTAAATCCTTGGCGCTAGGTTGTTACCCGCCACATATTTTCCCCTGGTCTGATCTGAATTTCATGTTTGGGTCGGAAATTTTCTGGCGCGTTTATTGTAAGATTTCTCACCGCTTGGTTCACCCAGTACGTCGTTACTGGAATATCAGGTTTTGGTTGGAAATATTCTGGCGCGGCTACTGTAAAATTTCTCAGTGTTTGGTACACCCCGTACGTCGTTACTGGTTTAACGTAGTACGCACGTAATCTCGCGCTCAGGTGGAAGTTCCCTGTCCACAAATTTTTTTTTCTCTAATACGTACCAGTTCCCACCAGGTTTATCCAACTCATATATGTACTATTGATATCAATGAATCGTAAGTACATCGCAATAGTTTAAACTGTTTCTCCTGACACTTTTTTTCTTATTCCGTTTGTGTGACGTTGTCCTGCATATCACCAGTCATTGTCCAGAATATTGGTTGTCATTGTCCCAATTTTCTCCTTGAAGTTCTATTGCCTTCTCCTTGAAGTTACATCAGCATTGTTGAAATGTCATTCCCTGTTGCCAGCTTACTAGCACCATGGTACTAGCCTCTGACTCTTTATCACATGATGGTGAAGCCTCCTACAGTTTCTTTTGAAGTTTAAAACTAGTAGTACTACTAAGGAAGAAATAGCACAGAAGTTTCATCCAGCATAGTTCATCTCAGATTCAAAATACCCAGCTAGTGGAAGAAAACCCATATTGCTGACTTCCAAGTTCTGGGTTTTATGTTGTTAAAAAACTGAGATGACTCTCAATTCAAGAAGCAGTCCACGTCACAAAAAGTGTTGCCGAGGTTTGGTTTTTGCAGTTGTAGTACCAACTGACATATGTTTGGGGACAGCAAAGAACCATCAAGATTCAGTTTCCAATGTTTTTGACTCCTTTTGATTGGCCAAGAACTGTCAAGCAAGTGTGTACCATTTCAATATACAATTACAGCCAAAAATTAAGCATATTTTGTCCACACACCACTACTAGTGTAACTTTGGCAGATTAGTAGTTCAAAGCAAGCTGCTAGTACTACTAGTACTAGTAGCTAGAGCATCAAATGACTTCCCAATGACACCAGTAGTCATTCTTAAGYAATTATGTCAACTTTTTCTGGTGGTAATATAGAGTTGCTTTTGATAAAGTTCTGGCCTATTTTCAAATTAGCAGCCACGTCCGAGAGAGTGTTCTGCACCTCTCCTAACCTCGCGCAACGCTAATTTTTAGAATATGCACCTTTCAAAATAATTAAATGCCTCTGCGCGACTAAATTTATAAAAATACACCACACGATTCAGGGGCATCCAATTTCCGAAAGCTTCTGTCCTCTACGTCACCTGAATTTCAAAAAACTTCTGATTTGACCAATTGGAATGGAGATTATTTGTCTATTTATTACATTCAAGGTTAGGGATACATACAAAATCATCTTAGATCCTCGTTCCACTCTTGATGTTTCTTCATCTGTACAGTACGGAACCCATCCTGCACTTAATCAACACCGAACAAAAAATTTTTTGCTGCATCGAAACAAACTTTCATTCCGTTGTTGTCGATATTCTTCTTCTCTTCATTTACTCTTTTTATTGCCACTGTGCATCGTACCACTATCATGCCTCCTGCAATCAGAACCCCTATTGTGTTCTACTGCCGTGGGTGTTGGGGACTAGAGGGGAAGAAATCAAAGTTCAAAGGCTATAAATCTCAATCGACTACTCATGTCGATGTCAAATATATCGCAGCAGGATTAAAAAGGCATATCTCACACAATTCAGAATGCTATTCTGTCTACAAATCCCAGAAC